CACCACTGAATTACGGCCTGTCCACACAGCGGCGTGCGTTGAAAGCTTCACCATTCACTTGAATAGGGTGACGTCACTTTTCGCCGCACTGCATTGTGGGAAGCGAAGCAGAGCTTTGCTGGCGTGGCTCGCTGCAAAAGTTGAGAAATGTTCAACTTTTGAAGCTTCTGAAGCTTCGGTGGAAGCGTCAGCCAATCAAATCCCGTTTATGCAAATCTGCCAGTACAAGCGCTAGCCAATCAAACCGCGTGTATGCTGGGAGAGACACACCGCAGGCATAGGCGGCGCGTGAGGGTCAGGTTTGTGAAGGCTAAATAACTTTTTTTTACCTGACACAAAGAGATCAACTCAGTGAAAGCACCGCCTGCTGACCAATCAGAGCTCAGTGTGCAGTTTAAATCTATCAAGTTATATTACAGGATAAAGGAAATACAGTTTAAACTGCCGTATGCAGAGAAGACGGCGACGTGTCGCACTTATCATTCATATCACACTGATATCACATCATCAATTAGATCATCGATCATATAATATCACAATATTTCCTTATCTGAGTCCAACAAGTTCTCACTCCCAACCCGTCACATGTTGACGGTCGGTCAGGGCCCCTCCCCGTCACTCTTTAGAGTGGCGAAGTCCCTCCCCTTCCGGTGGACCTCCATGGGACCTTATTTCGAAAAAATTATGTATTGAAGTCAATGGAGAGAGAAAGATTATCTTTCGATCCCGTTTGAATTGTGCCACAAATTACACATATGATGTTTGTCAATTTAAAAGATAATTTTGCAAGTGAAAAGAAATAAAAATGTCGTAAAACTGCGAAGTAACACATTTGTTTGTGTGAAACGCTCAATGAACTACATCTCTGGTCTCGCAGAACAACACACGTCACAAAGATGGCCGTCACTACTGTCTTGTCAACAAAACGATTGACTATCATCACTATCACCACAATGAAACACGTCCAGAAGAATGTCATGCAAAGCTGCCTGCCTGCCTGCCTTCCTTTGATTCTCTCTGAACTGCCTGGTCTTTTTAATGTTTCATGTCAACCATTTGTGCAGATAGCATGAAGTAGAAAAGATCGGCGATCACCGATGCTAGCATTAGCATTTCTCCCCCGGTTTAAATTGTGTATTACAGAATGATCACACCGGTGACAGTACTCTTCAAAGGGTTCACGAAATATGACTACTACTCTTACTGTTTAACATTTTGGGTTACTTAATGTTACTTCATATTGAGGCTAATAAAAATGACAAGGCTGTAATGCTAACTAACGTGCTAGCTACTAGCTAGGTAGCTAACTTGATCCAGCACTCCTGGTCCTTTCATCAGACGGGAAGCGAAAGAACGAGCAAGACCCATTGCTGGTATGATAACAACCTGGTACTAAGCACACAGGCATCTTGTTAAAGTTATCTTATCTTAGCCAGCGCCATATAGATAGATTATATCTATATATTATATCTATATGGCGCTGATCTTAGCTATCTCTTAGTGGAGGAAAAACAATTGTGACTACACTTACGCGACTCTGGGATTTGTAGTCTTTCTAGTTGCGTATTTTTCATAGTCTTATATTTCAACAGTTTTACGACAAACTGACTTTTTTTACATGGAAATATTTTTTTAAGATTGAAAAACATCATTATGTGTAATTCATGGCACAATTCAAACGGGATCGAAAGATACGTTTTCTCTCTCCATTGACTTCAATAAATTAGGCTTGTTTGAGACGCGTTGCGGCTCGCCTCGAAAGTAGACGAGAATAGCCGATCGCAGCCGGGGGAGGTCTCAAAAAGCTCGCCTGAAGTCGGACAGCTCGGAGTCGGCTTCGTCTTCTTCTTCTGTCGTTTTTTTGGCGGATTGCAAACAACTTTAAGGTGCATATCGCCACCTCCGGAGTCGGCTTGACTCGGTTTGCATTTATAAAGAATGCACACATGTGTTTAATCGTTAATGTCAGATATGTACTAAGTAAATACATTTGTTCCTGCTCAAGATTAGATTCAACTTTATTGTTATTGCACATATTACAGGTACTGAGACAACGAAATGCAGTTTAGCTTCTAACCAGGTGCAACAAGCAGTAAAGTGAAAAGTAATGTACACAATCTACAGAATAAAATATAGAATTAATTGAATGATGAATAAACAGTGAGGGGTATGAATACACTACACACAGCAGCCTGTGAGCAGTATGAACAGTGTGTTTGAATATGCTAAGATATATAAAGTATAAAAACAGTAAGTAGTGCAAGTATAGTATAACATATATAGATATTAATTTCATGATGATAAACATTGGGGAACAATGATGAAAAATGTGAATGGAAGTGGCGACATAAAACTGACACAAAACAACAACAAACTTTTGCCGAGCCAATCGGAGAGTTTCATCAGCAGCACGGGGTAAAAACCACCAATGAGCGCTCAGCTCGAGATACCAGCGAGTCGTTTCCCATCAAGCATTTCGCTTCCGCAGCCCGTGGAGAGGAACTGCGCCGCCTCGCCACGCCTCGCTCTCAAGGCTTCGGGCGTCTTTGTCCCGAGAGATTTCAACGTCTCATGTAGGCGAGCCTCCAGAGCAAGTCGGACAAAATGACTAACCATCATGCAACGCACTAGCAAGACGTTGATCGCAACTGCGCAGGTCTGCGCAGCAGGGGCGGATCTAGACAAATATTCATGGGGTGGCAAGAGGGTGGCAGGAGATTTTGAGGGGTGGCATCCCCTGACAGAAGTATATGCTGATTTAAATCGCAATCATATCAATCAATTAGGGGTGTAAAGGTACACATACCCGTAATGAAATTATTCGGTACGGGCCCTTCGGTTCGGTACACGTGTGTACCGAACGAATATAGCGTTAAACGTAAAAAAATTGAGAACATGAACAACTTTCTGGAAGTAATCTATATCATAGAGCGACCAAGTCATTTCATTGGACCAGAGGCATACTATGAGAGCTGGTCACAGGGATGCGTTCAAATGTAGTCAGTAATTTGAGGAATTGTCTAAATGGCGAACGCAGATAAAGTTGAGCTAAAAATCCTCCAGCATCATTGAAGTCTCCGGTTTGGGAACATTTTGATTTCACAGTTACGTACAAGGATGAAGGACAAAGACAGGTGGACCGAACCAAAGCTGTTTGTCGGCATTGTTCAACTAACATTGGTTATGCGGCTGGCAATACATCACACTCATTTGAAAAGGCATCACCCGAATGTGAATATCACCGGTATCAAAAGAAAAAAGACTGAAGTGCAAACCCAACTCCCACTAGCATTTAAGCCTCCACCACTCGCAAAGAGTTCAGACCGAGCCAAAGCTATTACAAACGCCAAATACAGTTCAAATACAGATTATTTCAGTTCATCGAAATGCTGCACCTTAATGTTTATTTTACTATATTTTGTATTTATTTGAATACATTAGTCACAGTTTAATAATAATAAAAAATGTTTTTTTAATGTTTTGTGATAATTTTTTCTGCTGTACCGAAAACGTACCGAACCGAACCGTGACCTAAAAACTGAGGTACGTACCGAACCGAAATGTTTGTGAACCGTTACACCCCTACATTCAATGTTAACTTGGAAAGCCACAATATTAATATTTTAACTCAATCACATAGGTGATATTATTGTGGCACATCAGTAAAGCCTTACAAGGTGGCAGACGTAATTTAATGAATTTTAACTGAACAATAACTGAATGAGTTTGTTTCACTCTTAGACCAGCAGGGGTACCAAATATATGCAGACTGCTGCAATAAGTACATTAATTAACTGTCTCATCGATGTTTGTCTGAATGAATATGATACTATTAACAATCATATTATTCCTATCAGCTGTCAATCACTGTTAATAAATAATAATAATAGATTTAATTTGTTAGCGTTTTTACAGGTGCTCAAAGACGCTTTACAGATATAGTGAAGAACTGTTATGATTCACATATTCATTTATTATTGAATAAACTATATTTTTTGGAGGAGTTCATGATGAATGTTCATCAAGATGCTTGCTCACCCTCCTTCAAATTTGAAAAACAAGTAATTATATCATTATTGATATACAGTTACAACCTTGACTTTACATCAGAAAGAACAAACATTAAAGAAGTGACTAACTGCATCAGTTAGGGTTAAAAAACGTGTATTCAGCTAAAACATCGCTGCAGTTATGATCCAGTGGAAGGTCCTTACCTACTGGCCTAGTTCAATCAAAGTGGTTACTTTCTGTTGGCTGGGCAGTGTAGTTTTACACACCGTCTTATTTTACTTTCTCAGGACTTAAAGCTGTTTTTTGGGGGCAGACCCCCTCAAAGAAAAAAATATATACACGCATACAAGGTCATCATCTTAACAGTTTGTTATTCTCATCGAGTCATCCGTGAGCAGAGCATCAAGTTGGCATGTCTATTACAGCTGAATGCGGCGATTACTATTTTGTTCAGCAAAACGCCTCACAAACTTATTAAGATCAACAGCTGTAGTGCGTTTTGATTCAATGCTGAGTACAGCCAAACTTGACATTCTCTTCTCTGTCATTGTAGACCGCAAATACCTCATTCCTTCAGTGCTTGGGTCCGAAAGGCTTCTCGTTTTGCGCCGTCCCCCCGTTCAAGTGAATTCGCCACCAATCATATTTCCACTCTCGCGCCAGGACCGGGGGATGGGTTACATGACGTGCATATTGTGCTGCATTCACTTGCACTCGGACATTAGAGACATTCTCTCATAAATGTCCGATGAGGCACAACTTTTCTTTCAAAACAAAGATGCCAACTGGGGTGGCAGCTAGGGTGGCAAGGCTATTGTTTAGGGTGGCAGTTGCCACCCCGGTAGATCCGCCCCTGCTGCGCAGGTCTCGCTTGTCTCAAACAAGCCTATTATTTTTCCGAAATAAGGTCCCATGGACCGGAAGTAGATGGGCGTGACTTCGTCACTCTATTACGGACAGGGTACCCCTTGAGAGTCAGTTTTCAACAGGCAGGTCTATGGCGGCAAATCTCTGTCATAAATCGCGAGGGCATATGAGATCCACGCGAGCACAAGTCAAGCAGCCGCGGACGTATATTATTTTCACGAGCACTAAAACGGCACTCGCGCGAGAGCAATATTGAAGCCTGCAGGGGAGAAACATGCCTTGAGCATGTGCAGCATCTACATGAGCTCTCCTTGGTCTCCTGCGCTCTCGCGAGCAATTCCTGCTCTTCTGCTCGTGAAACTCTGGCCTGCTCGCGCGCGCAGAGACATTTTAGGAAGTGGGCGTACCGTGTCCCACTAACGCCAAATCTAATTGGTTACACCCCTCCTCTTTTATGATTGGCCGTTTTCAAATGAATATCGGAGCGGGAAAGCCCCGCAGAAGAAGAATGGCTGACGACAAGGAGGTACGTACAAAAAAACTACCGGTTTAACATAACTATCATTTTATCTGCTTGACGGGCATTTAAGATATTGACATTGCATTATTTACAAGCCACGGTATAAGAAGAAAGTGACACAGCTGTCTGCTTGCAATAATAAAAGTTAGCTAAAGTTAACTGTTAGCAGATCTGGATAAACAAGACGACATGTCTTTGCACTGTGATTGTGACAATCAATTTGACTATTTCTTGTTTGTGTCTGTTTTAACAGATAGAGTTACAAAATGCTGCCAGGCGTGTTGTTGACTTGCTGAGAAGTGCCTTGGCTGAACCAACTTCTCAAAATCGTAAGTGAAACTAGGGGGAGATCACTTGTCTTCACAGATTCATCTAATGGTCAGTCGTTTACAAAGAATTGCAGCTGCAGTCTTGGCCGGCGGAAGCACGCCGAGGTGTTTCAGTGACAGTTTTACCAACCCATATTAAAACCAGAGTGAAAAACTGAATTTCCTCATGGGGGATAATTAAAGGTTCATCTTCTTGTTCTTCTTCTATTTATTTTCAGGGCTTGTGACTATCTGGGTAATGTTTAATTAATGAAGCCTTTATATATTCTAACTACTTTACATATTTAGGACTCAGTTTATTTAGATTCTAGGGAATCATAGACATCTTTAAATTGTGTTCACAGATGAAGTACAGGTTCAGGGAGAGCAGGTGTAGGTGGGCAGACAGCCTACTATACAGGGACAGCAGCAGTCTGCTCTTGGCAACAGGCAGCAGGCTGGGACAAGGCAGCGTCAGGCAGTCCACAGCAGCAACAAAGGACCCCTGGCTTTCCTTCTAGATGTCACTGTGGTTTGAACAGAAAGCCCTTCAGCTAGCTTCAACTGAGAAAGTTGGCATGCTAAAAATCACTGCTGACGAAATCACTCTTTTTGGTCAACTTTTGTAAGGTAACCATGTCATTTGACATATTTTAATGTCAGAGCACTTACTGAACAGAATTATATAACTTGATGCACAAAAAAAGTTTTAACAACGGTGTAATATGCTCAACCAACCGGTCGAATTGGCCTTTTATGGTAAACTAGCAATATGACTTTTTCAGAGTTTCAGAGATGTTTTCCAATAAAATATGGTAAATAAATGGTTAGATTCATGGTAATATTACTAAATCTAGTACTGCCTTATGAGTCTCAGAGTGAAAGAGTGATAATCATTTATATAGCACCTTTCATGCATGGCATTCAGCCCGAAGTTGCACACAGATGAGCAAGTTAGGCCAACACAGGATATAGACATTTGCTATTAGGCCAGTGGGTGGTTTATTCTTAGGCCAATTCAGCATATACAGTAAGATGAGCAAGTCTTTTTTTTATTGTGAAAAACACTTGACATTACTTTTTATATCAATATTGATGCCTTTTTAAAAAAATGTGTTTGGTTGTGTGGCCCATTTGATAAAAAAATGCAAACAAATAATTTTTCCATAGCTTTTGTCTTGGTCTGGTAATTAAAGGGTTAAGCTCATCCAACTTTGAGCATACATCATTTAGTTTTTTCTTCTCTCCAAGCCGGATGCTGAATTCCTGATGGGAGCCATATCTCCAGTCTTCAGTGAGCTGAAGCCAGAGCGAATCGAGGATTATAAACTTTTTGCAAGACTTCATCCAAAACATTGAAGATGAAGGTGATACTACTGCCCTGACATTTTATAAACGTATTTGTTCTTGAATTGTACCCCCGATTACGACAGGCAACTCAATGACAGCTTTGTATACCTGTTTTATTCATGTTTACATGTCTCAGTTTAAACACAACTTTGCATCATGATAGTTGCGATGAAACAATGATAACTCAAACAGGACTGGCTAATGAGGTTTTCTTCTTCAAAATATCCACATAAAAAACAATTAAAAAACAACAGCCATATTTATTGACATTGCTTAGGTCAAAATATGCATTTCTTTGTATTCATTTTCAACTTGTTTTAAGAGGAAGAAAAGAGCTTCGTGGTTGAAGAGAGGAAGTTATCTTCACCCCTGTGAAGATAACAGAGAGTGATCTTGATGATGGAGACTCAAGAGAGATAGAGTCTACAGGTGAACCGGCGAGAGATGAAGAGGAGATGAAGAAAAAATACAAGATCACTGTTGGTTGCTTCCTTCAATGGCTTACGGGGCAGGCACATGTCCCCATCACCTCAACAGAGAGAGAGAGAGATTTAAAATCCTAATTGAATTAGACCACGATTGCAGCGTGCGCTATGGTACACACACTGTATGCTTTCCAGTGGTTAATGCATGCTCCAACTTCATTACCTTTCCGACAAGGCACCTCGGCTCATATCCGGAGTTCCTGAGCATTATAACACAGGCTGTTATGAGTAGCAGGGAATTTAGTCGTTCATAAGATTCATAGAATCAATGTTTTCTGTTAAAACAGTCTTTATTGCACTTTATTTGACGAGGTTTTCATTTGTTCAAGATGAGAATGTTACTGTACAGTCAAACGTTCAAGTGACATCACATACTGTTCCAGTCAAAATGTTTTTTGAAACAAATGGCGAAGTTGGGGAACCATTATACTTTTGAGCTGTATTTTGTGTCTGTTGTTTCAATTTAATGGAATAAAAACCCAGTCACCAGTTGTGCCAAGTAACTTTACTCTATCCTGAAATCGGCATCCTGACTTATTTTACTCTTGGTACTTTTACTTAAGTAACACTTTGAACACAGGAATTTTACTTGGAACAGAGTATTGTTACATTTTGGTATTTCTACTTTTAGTTAAGTACTTCTTCCACCTCTTATAGTCACTGTAATACACATATAATACACGTTACTAACTTAAACTGTTTCCCCATTATATTCCTACTATGAGGCTTAAGGCCATGTTTACCCTCATCTGTGTCATTCAAGGGAGCTGTATTTCTTAAGAGCCACATCTTTCAGCTACATACTCACGGCAGAGTAAGTACAGTTCCTTGACCGGAGTGTTTGGGTCAATTTGCTGAAATACTGATTCAAGTTCAGTTATGTCTTCTGGACTCAAAGGGCAGTCGAATTCGGGGACGACAATCCCTGCATCCTCTTCTTCTCCATCATGGTCAGCAGCAATTTCCCAGTCAACATCTGGCTCCTAATAACCATAACAGAGGTTTTGAACACTTAGGTGAAATAAATGTATGTCTTATAAACAAAGTGGAACAATGACATCAAGTAATAGTTTGTGTTATTTTTACACAGTTAAAATAAGAAACTGAATAAAATGCCCAGAAAATGGTCATGGAAAGAAAGTAATCTTTTGACAATGTATATTACACAAAGTAAATGGTAAGTAATTACTATCTTCAATGACAATCCAATAAAGGTAACTCAGGCTTCTAACAATGAGAGGTTAATATTGAAACAAGATCAATACCTCTGGGCTCTCCGGCTGATCAATGTTTGTCTGCATCAGTCCAAGTTGCCATAACTGCTCTGGACATTGGTTCCGTTCAGTGCTGAGTGGATGATGGTTCCAGCCTTCTGTAAAAATCCCCAAGTCCATCTGAAGTCGGGGAAGAATAATGTAATGCACACAGAAGAGGTCGTCTGTTGATGAGATGTCGAGCAGACCATCCTCTTCGAGGCAGAGCAGTATCGCAGAGTACTTGTTGGTGACTATGACTCGTACATCACGCCAAAGACGCTCAATCCTATGGATGAAAATACATGGTTTAGGGAAAACCAGTTCAAGTGATCTATTTTCATGCTAGCATGGGATAGTGCAAGGTGCTTGGTCTACACATCAGATAATTCCACCTCACTAATTTAGTTGCTAGATATGCTGCAATTTACCTCTGGTTATGAACACTTTTACCAGAGATGAAGCTTCCACGGTCGGTGCCGCGAACCGAAAACATGAATCTCGCTATCTGTACGTTTTCTACACCTTGGTCTCCTCTGACCCTGAAATGTACACAGTTGACCAAAGGACTGTCAAAGAAAATACTCATCCAAAAGTGTCACAGTATTGATCTAGTTCTCCAAAGAGTGCTTTTTTTCCCTGTGAATTCACCTTAAAGGCACTCCATGTCTTTGTGTTGCCTCTAGGAAGAAGCCGTAGGCTGTTGACGCACGGTTGTTGGTCGAAGCACCCAAGTACATTACCTGCAGAAAAGCAGAGAATATTTAAGAATAGGGCAATTACACACAATAACTAGGCAACATTCTGTTAAACTGTGAATTAAAGAATTCCTGTTGCAATAGAAATAAGCAAACACTACTGACATACAGTATACTGACTCATAATTGTGCAGCAAAAATAGGCAATGCACAAAATCTCCTTTATATCTACTTTGACTTTGCTGCTTCCTTTTTAGTCCATACACTTTCTCCATTTGGACCAAATTCAGGACACAGCGTTGGGACCTCTTTTGTGGTTTTAAGTAGCTAGCAGTAAACCCGTACAAAAAATACATGTTTGTTTAATGTGTGTCTACTGAAGTAAAATGCAGTCTTACCTTTCTCGAATACCCGTCCACTCCACCAAATAAGACAATGTTGTAACTGGAAAACCAAAGAACAAACTGTTATAGCACTCTGGAATTGAAACACTGATTCTCCAAAACTGGGACATTACAATGAGATTATTTCTTAATCACTTAGCGAAATATAAATACCACAACCATATCAATTTGTGGTTGGTATCCACGTGCACAAGTGAGAGAGGCCCTCGCACTGAATATGTTCTCCTCACAACACAGCCCAGACTAGCCAGTCTGGAGAGGATGCCTATGGAATCCACTCGATGCATTGAGGCAGCCATTCTTGTCCATTGTACACGTAGACCAATAGATAACAACCGTCCTTTGACCATTCGGTATCCAGCAGTGGGCATGTCATTCTTGATAGATATGACCACGTTATCCAACTCCTCATCACTGATGGAGCTATAAAGTTCTGAAACAGATAAGCCAAACTCTCTCATCCTTCTAAAGATTGTACTGGAAGAAACACCTAGCAGTTTTGCAATGCAAGGCACCGATAGGTTTGTCCCCAACATCTCAACCAACTACTGCCTCTCAATTTCAAACTTAGGACGTCCTCTTAGACCAATAACTGATCCCACTGCTGTATTTGGGGCTTCTGAATCTAAATATTGCCTAAGTAGTCCAAACAGCTCTTGAAGAGCTTGGATTATTCCTTGCGGTATGTCAACATGTCTTGAAAGTGCTTGCAGGAGGTACAGCTCCTGGCGACATGCAAACTCCAGGAAATCCAGGTCAAGTGGTGCTCGAATGAGTGCAAGCTCAAACTTCGACAGGAGTCTCTCCAGGATCTGCCTTTTCAGAATATGCTGTGAAGAAAAATAAAGTACACTTTAATTAACTAAATTAATACTTGAGGAAGATTCCTTGGATATATGTGTTTGTAAACCCTAACTAAGGTGTAACAGTTCTTTTTTCAGGTGGAGCTAATATTTCCTTCTGGTCAGTTTGTTAATTCAGTTATGACGCTATACCACAATTATCTATTCACTATTTTATTTGTATTTAATTATATTTTTAAGAAATGTGGTAAATCTTTATTGAAACAATTATGTCAAATACAGAATAAGGCACATAAACATCAATGTTCATCATAAACATTCCAAAAAATAAGCTGAGGGCATTTGAACATAAAAAAAGTGGTCATTCAGAAATTAAAGTGCCAAGAAACTTGCAAAATTCTTGGGCTTTTTTACATTTGCATCATTTTATCCTTTTTTGTATAGTATTATTTATTTGAGAAAGGCAATAAAAACTGGGGACATTTTGAAAAAGCGACATTTGTGAATAAAATATTTTGCTAAAGTAATCAAAATTATTAATTCCAAATTCAGTTTTTGAAAGCTACATTTTATATTATCATATGTCAAGACCGAACAGGTAATTGGTTCTTATCTTTATAATAGAATAGTTTGAATACTTTTGAAAAATATGTATAAAAATGTATTATCTAAAAAACTCAATCCATTTATAAGTAAGGACGGCTCTTGTGGAATAACCACAGAATACAAAACCATGCCTTTAAAACAATCATTAGTAAAGTAAAGTAACTTACGTGAGACGTTTCCACAGCCATATTTAATCACGTTTGGAGAGGGACAAACAGTAGGCTTGTTTGAGACAAGCGAGACCTGCGCAGACCTGCGCAATAGGCTACATGCACTAGGGTCTGAGACGTACTTCCGCCTTAGCCGTTATACTGCTCGGACGCTTCCGGGTTGCTTCTGGTCTGCGTAGCTGAGCGTCCACAAATGTTTTACTGTTTAAATCTGTGGTTTAAATATGAGTCGACGGAAGATTTTCAAAACGGAGCATTTGCAAAGACAAGTAAAGAACTACTCCGAGCACTGCTGTGTCCCACTTTGTACGGCGTCAGCTAAATTCAACGGCGTCCTAAGTTTCCATGGCTTTCCGACCGAACTCGAGCTGCGAAGACAGTGGCTGGTTAAAATACGACGCGATAACTTTACAATCTCCTCTCACTCCAAGGTCTGCAGTCGTCACATCGCTACGGATCAACTAATAGAGCCAAAAACCCTTGATGGCCGTAGGAGGCTTGTGAAAGGTGCTGTTCCAACTCTGTTTGAGTGGAATCACTTCACTGCTCAAACACCGCGGGCTAGTGTTTGGGAGAGAAGGGAGCGGCCCACTGAACCAGTCTCTCGGGAGGAGCAGGAAGAGCACATCGATGTCCGTGACCATGATTACTGCTCAACCCCTGAACCAGCTTCACTGGACATGTCCTCTCAAGCTACAGAAGACAACTCCAAAACATTGGAGGATCTGCAGAAGCAACTGCAGGAGTTAAGAGTCCAGCGAGAGTTTTGCTTACAGCGGTTTGCTGGCTCCGACGACAACATCCGATTCTATACCAGGTAATGTTTTGGCTAAATTCTATCCAAGTTTTTGAGATGGGTTAGCTTATAAAGAATCCTGTTTACCTGCCGTTTGACTGCCGTTTGACTGCTGACTATTTGCATGCAGTGTTGGAATAAGTAGGCTACTCAACTTAACTGAAGTATAAGTACAAATACTATGGTTTGAAAATACTCCTGAACTGAACATGTAGAATCATAAATCATGTGTTTTCATAAGTAACTAGAAACTATGAAGGTTAACTAAATGTGGTGGAGTAAAACATACTAATACTAACAACATACTGATAATACTTTACTACAAGTGGAAATCTTCAAAACCTTACCAAAGTAAAAGTACATGTCAATATCCACTGCGTTTCTCCCAGTTGCACACTTAAGAATGAAGAGTAAAAGTAGTCATTCTGTGTAAAATGTTCCCTGTATGTTTTAGATTATTATTACTGCTGCTTTAATGTAGTTGTTACATGTTACTGCTGTATATTACTATACCTGCACCAAGTGCCTTCTTAATCAGTCTATTTGAATTGTAATGTATTATAGCAAACAAGAGGAAAGCATTAGCCCATGTGTTACAGTTAACGAGTCAATTAATGACTGACATGTGTCTTTTGTGTACAGATTCCCGAACTATAACCACCTGATGGCCTTCTGGATTTTGATTGAGCCTTCCATTTATAAAATGGTTCGTGTTACAAGAGCGATATCAGCTGCCAAGAGGAATGAAGAAGTGGTTACACATGCACGTCCATCAACGGTAGGCTACGTTTCTTTTAACACACAATCTAAACACAAACTGAAGGGAAAATGTTTCTCCAACATTTCATTGCTTTCGTGTAGGCTAAAAGGCTATAGTACTCAATCCTTTTTGAATACCTCAGAGAACTAAAACAACTTAATGTTTTTCCCATGGTGTGCTACACTCATGACATTAATATAGTACCCTTTTTTTGTTTATCTTCCAGAGACAGCTGCTTCAGCCAATTGACGAGTTCTTCCTTTTTCTCTGCTTCCTGTCGGTGGGTTTGAAAGAGAGGGACCTTGCAAACCGCTTCAACGTACACCAGTCCACTGTGAGCCGCATCATTGCAACATGGACGAGTTTTCTTACAACTTTATTGGGGTCACAGTGCATCTGGCTTACACCTGCAGAAGTTCAAGCCCACCTCCCAGAGGCATTCAAAGATTTCCCAGACACACAGGTGATCCTGGATTGCACAGAGCTGAGGTGTCAAACACCATCCTCACTCCTCCTCCAAAGTGAAATGTATTCTACATACAAAGCTCACTGCACCATGAAAGCCCTGGTTGGCATAGCCCCACATGGCGCAGTGACATTTGTTTCCAGTCTGTATGGTGGTTCTGTCAGCGACAAGGAGATTTTCAAACAATCTGGAATAGCTGCGTTGTTGACTAAAAACATGGCAGTGATGGTAGATAAGGGCTTCCTGATCAGCGATTGCTGCAAATGCAAGGTGTACTGCCCACCTTTTCTGTCAAAGCAGAAGCAAATGCCAGCCTATCAGGTGAGGGAGACACAGGCCATTGCCAGACTGAGGGTTCATGTGGAGCGTGTCATTAGGAGGATAAAAGAGAACAACCTTTTTGATGGTGTCATCTTCCTGTCCCATGCCTACAACATCAACCAACTGTATGCTGTCAAACTATCAGAACAAAGCACTGGTCAAGAAATGGGTGAAATAAGACAAGATGATGACACCTGTGCAGGTAGCTGTGATTAAGCTGGGTGAGCACACCGTAATCCCGTGTTGCCTGACACACGCTAGTGTTTTGTTTGAATAAATGGAAAATAGCAAATTACAATGCGTTGATGATTTCTTACAAATGCACTGATTTACTATTCATTACACAAATCACTTCACTTTATTGTCTTTTTAAATACAATTGTATATTTATTTACATATATGAAATGTGACAAACAATATATATCAAAAACAAAATATTGAAATCACATTTTGTTGTCATTCAGAACACATGATTGAGGGATTGCCTCCTAAAAACAATGACGGCTGAGTCAGGGTCTAGCAGCTAACTGCTTACAGAGTTAACAATGGCTACAGTGCCCACTACTTTTTTAATGACAGGTACTTCGGCATGTATGTGTAAAAAAAAAAAAAAAAAAGTCTACTTTTTCTCTGATTGCTCTTTGCACTTCTGGATCTGTGTATATACTTTGCACCAGGTAGTCCTCTTGTGCCCACACTACAAAATCACACCACTGCATCCCAGATACAAGAAGTTGACCCTGTACTTGCCAGTAATAGGCATGGCTTTTCTTGAGCTTAGGGGAGCCACATTCCATCTGCACATATTTGCAGTCGACATAATTTGGGACATTTGAATTGAACAAGGCCAAATTGGGGATATTCTGTTGGGTCAAAAACAACTCCATCAGGGGAGGCACCAAGCCAGGGCATAGAGGGGTGAATGACAAGGCCACAAGGGGAGTAGTTCACGTTTGCCAGTCTACTGTATTCAGCTGCTACTGTGGGCTCCATCTCGGCACCTCTCCTCATTTCTGCAGTCTGCCTTGTACCTTTGAGTATTCGCTCTGCAAGAGAGTTAGCAGAGCTCTCACCTCTGACGTGACAAATCTCTCTAAACCTAGAGGCAGTAACCCTGGGTTTGCGGAGCAGATGCCACTCTGAGCTAGAGCTTTGCTCACGGGTAGCCTCCTCAATTTTGTGAGGCATTTCCAAATCAACAGATAAGCTGTTCATATGTAGTTGCTCCTCTTCTGAGCACACCAGCGGTAAATCACATGGCAAGATCACATACCCCTCTATGGGCAAGTGGGGTGTTGGTGGTGTGTCAGTGTAAAGTGTGGTGTACCGAGACGTCAAAGCAGGCATCTGATAGGACAGAACACTGCCCTCCTGCACAATCCCGAAGGCACTTTCCACAAGGGGCTTGTCAGGTCTCATGTTCATTGTGGTCACAAGCGGCCTGTCTTCAATGCTGAATGCTGAGTATGCCTCCGTAACTCTGAACAGGCAGGGATCTGGTAATGGCCCCACCATGCCTCTGTAGAATCCACTCCTACAAAGAATGGCAAAGACAATATAGCACATTAATGTGACAATAAAGGTTAGGAATACAGCACCAGAATTATGAATTTTAAAAACACAGGAAACACAATTTTCCAGCTAAAATTACCTTACTCCAGTCTGCACCATCCTATTTGGTACAGGCTTGGTGAAGACCATGGAGTTGATGGGCCCTGGCTTCACACCCTTAAGGAAAAGACAATTACTGTTCGTTGAGTCACTTTAAAACAAAAACTCTGTGAAAGATTACAAGTATTTGAACCTCATTGAAATTACCATTGTTCGCGGCTTGTGCCATTGCTGTTCCGATTCAGTACAGCTATGCACAGGTGGCACAACTGGCATGTTCAGTTCAGTGTAGTGTGCTGTTTGGAACAGCAATGCTACTGTGTGATTGCATAAAACAGTTCCTGCAACACAGGAGCACTGGTTGTGCATGAGCACCACTGGTGATGAATCACGAAGCGTTATCTAAAAAAGAGAGAAGAAATACTAGTGATTAGTAACCTCACTTGTTACTATGAGCCAGGAGGTTATTATGAGTAGAATTATTGGTTATTTTTACTGACCCATTATCCTAGAAGAAGCATGTATTCCTGAATGCTTAGTGTTACCCTCTTACCCTACAATACCACAATGAACTTTCTTTGGAAACTAAGATGCCTTGAAAATTGTATTAAAGCAGTTTTTACTATATATTTGAACCCCCAAACTTACACATCCATAATCAATGTAATAATATCTGACCAATCAGCTGTGATAAAGCAGGGAGAAGTAGGACACTGTTGAGATTCCCTTAAGGTAAACTAATGTTTAACTGAACTGAAACTCAAACAGGGGGGAACAGTGTCAATGCTGCCTGCCTACACTCAAACTGTGTGCTGTCTCGCTCTTCCGCATTGACCTGTAGCACAAGGCTCTCACGCTGACCTGCCCTGTCAGCCTGTCTTTATTGGACACTGAATGAAGAAAAACAGAGCAACAGCGTTAGATCTATACTCACGTCAACACATCTATGGCAACATTGCTTTACAAAAGCTGATACCATTATGCAGTGTGGCTAACAACAAGATAACCTTGGCTAGGCTATAAGGCTATTAAACGATAGTATTTGTTAGCAAAATGGCTAATGTTTTAAAGAATTAACACCAGAAACAGTACATAGCGTTACCCAGAGCCCTATAGTAGTCTACTATAGTAGTAGTATAATAATAATAATAATAGTAGTTATACTATAGGGCTCTGGCGTTACCTAGCTTTTGACAGCTAATGTTAGCGTAACCCGGAGCATAAGCTAGCTGGTTAGTACCGGTTATCTTCTTACCTTCATAGTTGTGTATATATGACGCAGCATATAATTTGAAGCCTTTATCGAGTTTGCTGGCTGGGGCTTTAGTCGTCCGGCAAATCCGATGAACATCTGACATTTTTAATTTCGGAAGCTCTTGTAGGCAGCGGGTGTAGAAGGTCGTCATTTTCAAACAGGAAATGAATCGGCCGCTATGAGTAGAATGCGGAAGTGACTGTGCATGTAGCCTATTGCGATCAACGTCTTGCTAGTGCGTTGCATGATGGTTAGTCATTCTGTCCGACTTGCTCTGGAGGCTCGCCTACATGAGACGTTGAAATCTCGCGGGACAAAGACGCCCGCAGCCTTAAGAGCGAGGCGCGGCGAGTCGGCGCAGTTTCTCTCCACGGGCTGCGGAAGCGAAATGCTTGATGGGAAACGACTCGCTGGTATCTCGAGCTGAGCGCTCATTGGTGGTTTGTACCACGTGCTGGTGATGAAACTCTCCAATTGGCTCGGCAAAAGTTTGTTGTTGTTTTGTGTCAGTTTTACGTCGCCCCTTCCGTTCACATTTTTCATCATCGTTCCACAATGTTTATCATCATGAAATTAATATCTATATATTTTTATACTATACTTGCACTTCTTACCGTTTTCATACTTTATATATCTTAGCATATTCATACACACTGTTCATACTCACAGGCTGCTGTGTATATCTAGTGTATTCATACCCCTCACTGTTTATTCATCATTCAATTCATTCTATATTTTATTCTGTAGATTGTGTACATTACTTTTCACTTTACTGCTTGTCGCACTCCTGGTTAGAAGCTAAAGTGCATTTTGTTGTCTCAGTACCTGTAATATGTGCAATAACAATAAAGTTGAATCTAATCTTGAGCAGGAACAAATGTATTTAGGTACTTAGTACATATCTGACATTAACGATTAAACACATGTGTGCATTCTTTATAAATGCAAACCGAGTCAAGCCGACTCCGGAGGTGGCGGTATGCACCTTAAAGTTGTTTGCATTCCGCCAAAAAACCGAGAGAAGAAGAAGAAGACGAAGCCGACTCCGAGCATGGACTCCGAGCTGTCCGACTTCAGGTGAGCTTTTTGAGACCTCCCCCGGCTGCGATCGGCTATTCTCGTCTACTTTCGAGGCGAGCCGCAACGCGTCTCAAACAAGCCTAGTACTTCTTGGTTTGAATCCAGGCAACGGCCAATCATAAAAGAGTAGGGGTGTAACCAATTATATTTGGCGTTACTGGGACACGGTACACCCACTTCCTAACATTTCTCCGCGCGCGAGAGCAGGCCAGAGTTTCACGAGCAGAAGAGCAGGAATTGCCCGCGAGAGCGCAGGAGACCAAGGAGAGCTCATGTAGATGCTGCACATGCTCCCCTGCAGGCTTCAATATTGCTCTCGCGCGAGTGCCGTTTTAGTGCTTGCGAAAATAATATACGTCCGCGGCTGCTTGACTTGTGCTCACGTGGATCTCATATGCCCTCGCGATTTATGACAGAGATTTGCCGCCATACAGGGCGACTTGCATAGAGCTCCCTGAACGCTGGTAATAGACGAGTTGGGATCGCGGCGAAATGCTCTCCGCAGATCCATTCTCACAGCGTTTATCAATCTTTTTCTTACTCAATATCAAGCCACACTTATTGTTTTTACTTCTTTATTTTATTGAATAATGTAGGACTTTTGTTGCCATCAGTTATGGGGAGAGAATATTTGAAATATTGAAATATTGAATATTGAAATCTGTATTGTTTCATCGTTTTTTCCTTCTAATTTTGTATTATTTTCTAAACCACACACTGTTATTTACTCAACAATAACGACGACGAAGGTACGTTTTAACCGTTTGTTTTTTCGTTCTAATTGAAAAAAAAAAAAAAAGCAGAAACGGGTCGTTTTTTTGTTTTTCAATTTTGCCCCAAAACGAAAAAACGGAAAATTCAGCTCGTTTTTTCGTTTTTCTGTTCTTACTGTTAAAACAAGTATACCACTCAATGTTTCGTTTCCATAAGTGGGTGTGTCTCCAGTGCCTCCTTGCTTCTGATTGGCTAGTGTGCCCTATGCTTGCGCTGTACTCTTCAAAAATAAAGGTTCTACGTCTTTGCCTTTAGACTGCGTTACAAATATACGTATATTATTATATTCATACATACAAGTACAGAAGACAGTCTGTCCGTATGTCTGTCTTTCTATATATATGTCTGTCTCGATGTCTTTCTATCTCGATGTCTGTCTTTCTGTAACTATATTTTAGAGTTTAAAGCGTAGCCACTTTTACTCCACTACATGTATTTAAAACCTTTAGTAACTTCACAGATGTGGATGAATGATGTGAAATGTAATCAACACTTCAATCAGACTTTAGTACCACCTGGAGGAAATCCACAAGCTACCCTGCAGTAGGCTATACAAAGTCATTCAAACTAGCTGCACCTTTACCAGCTTTGAGAACACTTTCATGATCAATCATTATAAAACATATCATATATATTATTCTGAACGGACCATTCTGCACAATGACTACTTTTACTGTCGCTACTTTCACTATATTTTGATGAGAATACTTTTCTACTTTCACTATATTTTGATGAGAATATTTTTCTACTTTCACTATATTTTGATGAGAATACTTTTCTACTTTCACTATATTTTGATGAGAATACTTTTCTACTTTCACTATATTTTGATGAGAATACTTTTCTACTTTCACTTGAGGAACATTTTGAATGTAGGACTTTTACTGTAACAGAGTATTCCTACACTCTGGTACTTCTACTTTTACTCAAGAACAATATCTGAGTACTTCTACTTCTACTCAAGTACAAGATCTGAGTACTTCTACTTTTACTCAAGTACAAGATCTGAGTACTTCTACTTTTACTCAAGTACAATATCTGAGTACTTCTACTTTTACTCAAGTATAAGACCTGAGTACTTATACTTTCACTCAAGTACAAGATCTGAGTACTTCTACTTTTACTCAAGTACAAGATCTGAGTACTTTTACTTGTACTCAAGTACAATATCTGAGTACTTTTACTTGTACTCAAGTACAAGATCTGAGTACTTCTACTTTTACTCAAGTACAAGATCTGAGTACTTCTACTTTTACTCAAGTACAAGATCTGAGTACTTCTACTTTACTCAAGTACAAGATCTGAGTACTTCTACTTTCACTCAAGTACAAGATCTGAGTACTTCTACTTTTACTCAAGTACAAGATCTGAGTACTTCTACTTTTACTCAAGTACAAGATCTGATTACTTCGACAACCTCTGATTAATGGTTGATTTCCAAATGTTCTGTTGGTGCGTGGATGATCAAATAATAGTGTTTGATTGTATTGCCTTACGTGCAGCTATTTGCCTGTGTTTAGAAACATAATTAAACATACCATGGACACACATTCAAACCATTTTCCTTTTATTAAACATTGCAGATGAACAATTAACAAGTCATACAGCTAAAGAAAACTACAACAATAATGTTCTGTATGATGATATCATGGAACCTGGAATTTGAACACACGGCACTTAACAATAAACAATAAACTTAACAATAAACGACTGAACTGCTGTCCACTTTAGGGTAGGGCCCTTAAATCATCCAGTGCTGCAGACAGTCCAGCAACCTGGGTATACACTGGCTCCTGATCCCTGCACTTTTACACATATCTTCTTACAATGCCTATAAGATCCTTTATCCCGTTTTGGAATGGTGCTGGCTCGTTATGAATGGCACGCTCAAAGAGTTCAGCAATGTCCGCATAGTTCCTTGCAAATTCTTGTTCAGCTGCTGTCTGGTGCTCCACAGTGGCAAATGGGTTTCTCCCAAACAGCGACACTCGTGTCAGAGAGGACCCCACTTCCTGATGATAGCAGTCTGCAGCATCTGTAGCTTCAGGCAAAAGATCTGCAGGCAGTTTCTTTGGGCACCCACCATGAGCAAGTTGATCTGGGATACCCTTACCTTAAAAAAAAAAACACAAATAAGTAGCCATTGTTAGTGTAATGTTACATATCATGCATATCAATGAACCTCACACAGCGTGTAATCATAGCCTGCCCTTACAAAAAATTGTACTTGTGCTATTAGTACACTTCTTACAAACTTTAAAAAGTATGTTTTTAATTTGACTGTTTATGTACTTACCAGATATATATGTTTCATGCAATAAGAGCAATCTATAAACTAGATAGTAGATATGTCTTTACTCAGACAGTTATTGAAATATTGTAATATATACATGCCACATTTAAACATTTCCATCCACCTAGTGTAAAAAAGGGATACAGAGAGAAACAAATGTAGGATATAAGTACAACTTGTAAAAATGCATAAAGAAGGTCATTTGTTATGGGGCTTAAGTAACATTCTGAAAACTGCTATACAAACCTTGGATTCTGTGTGCATTCCAGGACTGCACCATCCGGTCAAGTCCAATGTTGGCTACCTGACAGGTAAGAGTGGACACACAATATCGTGTGATGTTGTCTTCAAGGTTTAGTTCCTCCTGGTCAACAAGGTGGTTGAGTGCGCCTTTCAGAGGGTAGTTTACCCTGTTGTTTACCTCTGGCCACATCCTTTCTATAATATGATTCTGTAATTTAAAGTAAACAAAAATGAGAAGAGTCAAATGTAGAGAGCACATTGTAATTTCCCATAGTTAATTTCCCAATTTCTTTCCCAATTTCCGGCTTTGTATTTGATCCATTTCCTGTTGTATCCAGTTCAAAAGTACTGTGTATCTCTCCTATGTCATAGGAAAAAGCTAGCAGTCCCCTAGAGAAGTTTAGTGAACGCCATGGGTCTATTGACAGCTTTATCAGCTAGCAGTTGGGTGAATAATGGAATGAGATCAGAAATCTTTTATTTGTCTCGCCACAGAGTAATTTACATGATTACAGCAGATAAAGTGAGGAATAAAAGACAAAAATGGCTATGTGGGGATTGTTATGGAAATAATTATCATAGACGCCAATTTGTAACATACAGGACAAACCTTGATGTCTGTTTACCTTCTTTAAGGACACAGGCTGCTTAGCCAATAATGTTATTGTTCCCATTCTGTGACCGGTCAATACTGGGTCACAGATGGTCTGTGTTGTGGGTACACTGGGACACTTCCTTCTCTGTATTTGTGGACTCCAAGGTGAAATCTTCGAGGTCATAAGTGTCCGACGCAAGTAGCTCAGTGTTCCCACACTGTTTAGGCTATCTTCTCAAATATGTTGTTTACTCTCTGCGAAACCAGTTAGATGGGCTGGCAAGAGAGAGGCTCTCCAGAATTTCTCCAAGGTGAAATCTTCGAGGTCATAAGTGTCCGACGCAAGTAGCTCAGTGTTCCCACACTGTTTAGGCTATCTTCTCAAATATGTTGTTTACTCTCTGCGAAACCAGTTAGATGGGCTGGCAAGAGAGAGGCTCTCCAGAATTGACGTGGCAACTCTACCGTGAAGTCAGAACCTCTGACTCTTGGACTTGTGATGTGAATCCTCCGGCCGTTAACTCCAAATAAACCACCAGTGTTTGACATCAAAGCTACTGCTCCTACCGTGTCTCCTTCCTGAGTCGGTGACTCCCACTGCATAGCTACACAGAAGTTTCCTCTACAGGGATTGTCCACAGTATTGAGTATGTAAGTCGCTTTGGATAAAAGCGTCTAACAAGTAACATGTAATGTAATGTATGAACACGTTGATTGCAATTCAGATAAAAAAACAACTCGCCTGTGTTGACTTTGTTTGCATGTATGGCTGTCTGCCTATGTTATTCCGGTAGTCTGCCAATTTCTCCTGCATGAAAAGAGTCAAGTAGAATTCTTTTCCATGGTCTACTCGGATTTGGTCCCACATTCCATATCGTAGGACAGCACTCCTGCAAAACAGCAATACAAAAGTCTTATGACATGTAACAGAATGTCATGTTTGTTGTTACAACCTAAGCATTGCTAAAGCGAATTGTGTACGCAGTTAAAATGTTGATCTCATCAATCAATTACCAAGTAACGTACAATATACAGTGGTTACCTGTCAGTAGTTTTCGGTTTACAATATTTTTCCCAAATAAAACTGTTCAAATAAAGCTACATTTAGCCATTGTGTTTTTATTTAGCTAAATGTTTACTAAATTATTTACTGTCTGCTGTTTATTAGGTTATTATTATATTATTATAACAGAAACAGGGCACTGCAACTTACTGGTAAACCTCTTGATATATGGTCAGGTTGTTTTTCACTGGCACGGTGGAGTGGCGTACAATGTTGCTGGAGAATCCGTCCACGGCAAGGACGTGGGTCACCCCATACATCACCAGTTTCTCGTTTTGGTCAATGTGCAATTTGTGACCCATGTACTCTGCACTGTATGGCACTGGATTTAAATTCCTTTATCTCTGAGGAATTAAACACAATGTTATTGTTCTCACAATATGTTCACAGCAATGTACAATACAGGAAAATCTAGATGTTTTTTAATAATACCTACACGATACCGATCTGCATGATATGGCTGGTTAGTTTCTCTGAGGACACGACCAAAACACGCCCCTCTGATGCTCGGATTCCTTTTGAGGCCAGGTAACCAGTCATCATTTTTCTTCCATATGTTGGTCCAGTCTGAATTTGTAAACACAAAACAAAAACTAAATAGGACCACGGTACGTTTTAACCGTTTAACCAATTTTAGTTCTAATTGAAACCAAAGAACCCCAGAATAGTTATCTCATTATTATTTACACAATTATGTCCAAAGTTATTAGTGAGTATTTCTGTCACATCATTGTTAAGCCTCAACTCAGCTCCTACGTCTCAAAGAAAACCCATAATTCAGGGCTCGTTACATTTGTTTGTATTGTGAGAATAATCAATATACAAATGAAACCGGAACTTTAGTCCACTGATGTATTGTTCCCCCACGGACAAATATCGAGGGTAGTAGCTTCCGGAACCGGAAGTTGCATTGTTTTTAGCATTCACAGTAGGATGTAGCATATGAAGCAGCATTAGTGAAGAGATGGATACAAACGTGTGTCGTTACATACTAAACACACCGTCTCCAACTGCCACTCATCGATGCTAACATATCACTGTTACTATATGGTTAACTATCATGTATATAGCTATTTAAATGCTTATGAATGGATGTTTAGCTACGTCAATAGAGGGCAACGGAATATGCAACCCAGTCTCACGGCATTTCGTGTTCACCAACACGATTTTTAATCTATTGATTCGTGCTCCCCAACACGATTTGCCCCTTTTTTTTCGTGTTGCACAGCACGATTTTTTTTCGTGTTTCACAGCACGATTTTAAAAGCAATGTATTTCTACTGCTTGCAGCACGTCTTTTTCTCCGGTCGGGTCGAGGAAGACCTGAAGCTGTGTGGTTCATAAAAACATGTTCTTACTCAATATCAAGCCACAATTATTGCTTTTATTTTAAATCGTATCATTTCTGACTTTTGTTGCCGTCTGTGAGGAAAATAAATGGGGCTCAGAGCCTCAGAATACTGAAATATGTATTTTTTAAATATTTTTTTTCCTTCTAATTTGTTATTATTTTCAAAATAACACACTGTTATTTACTCACCAATAATTCACAATTATCCTTGATTTTATTTATTGGTTTAATTCCATAATCTCGGGCTTTTTTAGCCTCCGTCAGGGACTGAATTTCAAAATAAAAATAACCGGACATAGGCATTACCCAAGATCCTCAGCTATGGTTTTAAACTCGCTTATTGGATGTTTTAGCCGCAATGCATGCTGGGATTTGGTGTTTATATGATATGAAATCCGGAAAACATTTGTGTACCTTGTGTGCATCTAGTGGTTAAAGCACGTTATTGAATTATTGTGTTTGATTAAAAAAATATTAAGAGTACATACTTTCATAGGGGGAAAGTATAAATATAGAAATATAGAATATAAAAAATCAAGAAGATACTAATGCAGTTTAGTGCAGCATGTACAAAGATATTAATAGGAGGAGGTGCAAAACAGAAAAACGAATTAACCTTTATTTAAACATTAAATAACTACGGAGCCCCCTAGGGGACATGGAGAAGAAAAAAAAAAAATTCTGAAAAAAAAAAAAAAAAAATGTTTTGCGAGATAACGCAAAACCTTTGCGAGATCTCGCAATACTTTTGCGAGATATCGCAAAACCTTTGCGAGATCTCGCAATACTTTTGCGAGATATCGCAAAACCTTTGCGAGATCTCGCAATACTTTTGCGAGATCTCGCAAAATCCCTTTGCGAGATCCCGCTAAAATGTTCGTTTAGCGCAATGTACTTCCGGCCGGTTCAGTTCGGCAACCTACAGTACTCTGGGGAAGCTTGTAACAGATGAAAGAGTCATGGAGGAGGATTTGGAAAGGTTTCTTCGTTCGAGAGAGGTCCCACAAGAGGACATCATGAAAATGCAAAGTGACAAGGTGGGTAGAACATTCAGTCAATTCACGGAATAAGTTACCGTAACAACACAGAGCCTGGAAAAGTCAAACACTTTATAAGTAATATGGAGGTAGCATGGCAGTTTTAATACGAACGTGAGTGACACAGTAAACTGTGTTTTTCTCATCATGTATCGTGCAGCTTTAAAAAATCCTTCTGTAAAAAGTTTAATGCTGACTTCTGAATTTGATAAGCTCCGTTTGTTTACAAGTTAAGTGTTAGGTAGGGTGACGTTAGTACTGTGTAGTAACTAGCTTGTTACCTAGCAAAAAATGCGTTATTTGTGGTACACATAAGAATGGTTTTTGGTAATGTATTGGCTATTTTATTTTTGCAGGTTGACAAGGCAGTGCTAACCATCATGAATGATGAACAAATGGCAAAGTATATCACTTCATACGGTGACCGAGTAGCTGTCCTCTCCTTCTGTCAACAAACAAAGTGCAGCACAGATAAAGAGACTCTTCTACAGACATTAAGAGATAAAATAGGAGCACGGAAAAGTAAATCAAAAACAAAAGGAGCATTGTGTGGTGCATCAGGTGTGTTTCAAAAAGAAGGTGAAGGGATGTCAAGACAAAGAAATAATGCAGCAGAAAAGACTACCAGGAAGATTGAAATAGGATGGCTTCATTTTCACAATAAGGAATACCAACAAGTGAGGACCTGCAATGGCGGGGGAACAAGACATGCATCGGTGGAAAAACAACAACTGTTGCTCAGATTTTGGAAATGGGAAAGAAGCTATTCTTCCCAAATGGCCACTCAACAAAAGGGCGAGTTGAAGAATTTACCTTTGAAGTCTGTGATTTTAAAAGAAACCAGATCCCTTCAGATGACACTGTTGGCAGACTTTATGAACAAACCAAACTGAAGCTGCTTAGATTTTACATATCCACAAAAGAAGAAGCCCACCCAACAGATCAATCCCCATCTGAGGTAGAAACAGTTAGTGAAGATTCCTTATCTGTAGATTAATCTGTTGACATCACTGAGGGAGCAGACGCACATGGATCTGTTGATGCAGATGAATTGATTACAGATCTGCCGGAGCGTGGATATTCATCTGACAGCGACAATAGCGATCAGGTTTGTGGCAGTAGGAAATATAAAGTAACTTTAATGACAGGGACAGATGGAAAGAGATAGTGCTTGAATATTAAACTTCAGGTAATAACTAAATAAAAAAATGATGTACATGGATTTCATAAAACAGAAAGGTTCCATTGTGTGCCATCAGTCACCACAGTTTGTCAGCAACTTTCTACATAGCTATAGTTATGGTAGGCCTATTTAGCACACACTTTTGTCCAAGACGTTACCAACATACATTCACCTCTGTATGTTTCAATTTTTCCAGGACTTTGTTGTTGACATGTGTGGTCAGACGCATTCATTTCTTTGTGTTGCATATTTTTTTGCAATTTCATACTTTTATTTGTAATGCTTTGAAACACATCACTTATCTTAGAGACTCTGAGGGAAGATTGAAGAATATCTCAAAGTTATTGTACAGTACCTTTATGCTTAATAGGCTAATGTGTAGTCGTATGTATTTTTTTGCACACCATTTGATATTAATTGTGAAACATGTTTTTCTCCCTGCCATTATTACAAATTACTGCTGACAACAAAAGTTGTTTTTTTGTTGCATTTCCAGATACAACCAAGATCCAAAAAACAAAGATCAACCTCTGACACTGTGACAGCAGAAGGTCCAAGACAATCACATCGCTCCCATTCAACCCCAACAGACGAGGCAGATACACTTTTATGGGATACGGAAGATGATCTTTGGGGAGCAGGTGGTGATGAGATAGTTGTGATAAAATGGAATGACGTCACACATGAGGATGTCACTCAGGTAATGTGATTAGGAACGTTTTTGGGTAAGGGGGTAGAAATGCAAATATATGTATTAAAACCAAACCAGTAAACACAGAAAAGATTGAGAAATGTATTGCTACTTCAATTCAATCAATTACATACTGTAGTTTTTGTTAGATTTCAATAGTCAGTAAATTCGATTCAATTAATAAAAAAACTCAAATGTGCATTCCTACTTTGAAAAAAATGTACCATGTCCTTTTATTTTTATGTCATGTATTCTGTTCCCCGATTCTTCTTTGGACACACGAATGAAATAACCTACAGTGCTGTGAAACGCTTACTGTACTTAATGAAATATTAGCTCACCCCATGTATATTTAGAGCTTCATTTTGCCATAGCAAATTGGTTAACATTTAATAGTTTATGTTGCTTTAGAACCTTTCACATTTCAACAAACCAAACAAGACCTGATGAAAACCTGTGGAATTCCACAAAGATTTTAATTTTGCACTCATAAGCCATACATGGTGGCATGCACAACTTCACAATTCTCCTTTTTTACGATAATTTCTATATCAAACTACCATTTGTTGTGTATAGTGGTATAGCAAAGTCATGCACAACTTGTATTAAAATAAATGGTGTTATTTAGCAAGCTGCAGTAGAAGTGGAAAGCAACAGAGTCCTTTTGACTTGTGATTGTGCAGTAGTTTTTATAAACACTGATTTGTGACTTTATTATACTCTGTCTCTGAAATTGAAGGTTTGTCTTTTTCCATTTCTTTTTTCCAAGTGTAATTTTTACAGAGTATTTCTGGTTTTAAATAGAAGATGATGTTGAAGACTATTACGGAAATACTTTTGTAAATTACGGTCTGCAATAACGTCTAAGACTTCAAAGTGTCTGCTGTCAATTAATAACATACTTAATTCATCCTTCAGAGTGCGGAGATGAATGGAGTACCAATGCAGGATTTACAACTCCCCTTGTCCTCTGATTTTGGCCTGCCTTCGGCACATGTGTCCATACATGAGGATACAGTGCAAACATCACAGGTAAGATGCATCACTGCAAGAAACCCTGAACACATCCTTTAAACTACCGCTCTTGTAACATTTCACATAACTGTGGCCTGTAAAACATTTGTATACTGTCCTGAGAGCTCTGGAGGAGCTCGGTCAGGTATAAAATAAGTAACTTTGATGATGTCATACTGAAGTTGTCAGTGTTACCTCGGCTT